TGTGTGTGTGTGTGTGTGTTACCAGGGATTGAACTCAGGACCTTGCGCTTGCCAAGCAAGTGTTTATTCTATTGAGCTATCTCCCTGGCCCCAAGGATTTTTTTAATAAAGGAAAAAACCACAACATTCTTATTAGTAAAATAATTTACTAAATATGTTGGAAGAGTGATGTTGAAGCGTGTTTGCTGTCTTTTTTTTTTTTTCCTTTCAGTCATGGAGATTGAACCCAGGACCCTTGCACAGAGCTATGTTCTCAGCCCTTTTTTATTTTGTGTTTCGAGACAAGGTCTTGCTGAGTCACTAAGTTGCTCAGGTTGGGCTAGAATTTGGGATCCTCCTGCCTCAGCCTTCCAGCAGGCTGGGATTCCAGGAATGCACCACCACACTGAGCTTATGTTCACTTCTTAAATGGTTATTACACTTCTACAACAGGCTATGAATTAGGAGTTGTCCAATTCTGGAGAATTTCTAGGGATAGGAAAATCATGAACCCATTTCCCATTTGCCCTAAGCACACGCACAGGTGTGGGGCTGTGTGTTTGCCCCAGGATTACACTCAGATCACGGTCCTAACCTCACCCCCAAAGGTTTCCATGGAAAAACCCCACATTTATTATTTTTTTTTGCATTCTAGTATGTGGTTAATCTTTGGAAACAAAAGATTTCATTCTATTTTTAGAATTTGGTTTTAGTAGTGGAATTGCTCTTCAGGAAACACAGTAATTCTTAATCACTGAAAGTCAGATGAACGCTGGCAGCAAGTGGTACTCCCCCCGCCCCGTCCCCCCAAAATAAACAAACAAACAAACAAACAAACAAACAGGAAATAGGACTTTTAAAGATGACTTAAATTCTGACTGAAATCACAAACGGGGGCACAAGACAAGTAGGTAAAACATGGCAAGACTCACCCATTCTTGTCAAAGACTTCAAACCCATAGATATCCAGCAAGCCAATCACAGTTTTTTTGGTGAAATCCTAGTCAAAACACACAGAGCAGGAGCAATGAGCGGTGGGACTTGGGGGACTTCCATGCGTCCAAGCACTGGGGTTGGCGTGGTGAGAATTCATCCTCACCAGGAAGTATTAAGTGGAGGAAAACTGAATTCAACTGTGGGGTGTGGCAGTGACCAGGGGCTTGGGTAAGATCATCAGGCAGCAGCCCCATGATCCGCTACTAGCACTTCATAAGGAGAGAGACAGGAAGACACAAGGGCGTGTGCTCCCTGTCCCTTGGCACGTGGTGTCCTGTGCTGCCTCGGGGTTCGGTCACCAAGGAGGGCGTCGTCACTGTGGGCGCTCAAACCTCCAGAACAGTGAGCTAAGTGAGTCTCTTCCTCAGAGAGTCACCCAACCTCCGATACGTCGTGATAGCAATACCAAATGGACTCATTCAAGAGGGTTACGTTTAAACTTTGGGACACTCCGAACCCTGTGGCTGCCCCCAAAACTGGAACTTGACTTTTTCTTCCACAGTGACTCACAGGATACTGTGTTTTCTGAAGAGCGATTCTACTACTAAAACTAAATTCTAGAAATAGAATGAAATCGTTTGTTTCCAAAGATTAACCATATACTAGAATGTGAAAAGAATAATAAATGTGGGGTTTTTCATGGAAACCTTTGGGGGTGAGGTTAGGACTGTGATCTGAGGGTTATCCTGGGGCAGACACACAGCCCCACACCTGTGCGTGTGCTTAGGGCAACCTTCAGGGGTAGCCTGCCTCAGTCCCACTGGGGGCTTTCGTATCTGTCACCTGGTAGTGACACCTTCCCCTCCCCATTCACATCTTTGCTTCAGATCTCTTCAGCTTGCAAAGCCCACATTCAATCCAAAAAGGGAAGAGGAAAGGCAGATCAACAGGCAAGGGGCCACTCATCCAGAAGGCGGGACAGACAGTGCGGTGTCATTTCACAGGGGCCAAGGGCTGTCAGCCAAGGACGGAGAGTGAACGACTGTGCTGTGCTCGTGCTACGTCTCCTGGCAGTCCGTGTGTTGAAGACATCATGCTAAATTCCTCTGTCTTTTGTGTTTGGAGGCAGGTCTGGGAAGCAGTAAGGGTCAGATGAGGTCATGCGGGTGGTACCCTCATCATGGCATTGAGTGGCTTTGTAAGAAAAAGAAGGGAGGCCCCCATAGACACACTTGCTGTGTCCCTGGTCCTCCAGAACCCTAAGCTAAATAAACCTTTTCTTTCTGTAGTGAAAGGAGTGGAACCCAGGGCTTTACACATACTAGGCAAGTGCTGTACCTCTAAGCCATGTCACCAGCCAGTTTTCTGTTCTTATTTGGAAACAAGGTCTCGGTAAGGTTTTCAGGTTGGGCTAGAACTTGAGATCCTCCTGCCTCAGCTTCCCGAGTAGCTGAGATTACAACTGTGCACTGCTGCAACTCAGCAACTTCTACTTTTTCTAAATTATCCAGTCTCTAGCATTTACTTGTAGTAACAAAAATGGGCTAAGAAAAATAATGTGCTCATTGGTTTTTAAAGGGTCTCAGTGGAATCTTTCTTTGGAGTGTACCGAGCAGCTTTCTCCCTGGCTCTGTCCTTTGCATCCTCTTTTAGTAAGCTTTGCCAGTTCCTCATCTACCAGAGTGATGTCCTCAACATCTAGCTTCAAATAAACTCGCTTTTATTCAAAAAATTCCGTGGAAAAAGGAAACACCATGTGGGCCAGGGAGATAGCTCAGCGGCATAAGTGCCTGCCTGGTAAGTGCAAGGTCCTGAGTCCAATCCCCAGGACTGAAGAAGAAAAAAAAAAGAAAGGAAAAGAAAGAAAAATGATCCAAGCATGAATTTGAGAGGCTAGTTATAGTTTTAAAGATATATTAAAATATATATGGTTAAGCAGATATGATGGTGTACACCTGTAATCCCAGCTACTTAGGAGGCCAAGGTAGGAGGATACCAAATCTGATGTCAGTCTGGGTCATTTAGTGAGATCCTGTCTCAAAATAAAAAGAAAGAAGGGATGGGATCTCCAAAAACAAAATAAAAGAGGCTAAAGATATAGGTCAGTGCCTCCTGGCTTTACTCCCCAATACCATAAAAATGTAAATAAAATACACTACTGCTAACAGTGTCTGTGTATGCCAAAAGCTACCCACTGGTCACATCACAAATCCTGTGCACACTATGAATCAGGGAAGGCCACAGGAGTCACCTGGTGTGCATTCCTGGGAGCTCACTGCACGGGAGACCTTGGAAATGTGGACATGACAAGACGTCACCTCCACAGACCTGTAACCAGAGCACTCTTGGAGGCTGAGGCAGGAGGACTGCAAATTTGAGTGTGGTTTGAGCAACTTAGCAACACAGCAAGGCCCTGCCTCAAAATAAAAACTGAAAAAAGGGCTGGGGACGTAGCTCAAAGCAAAGGCCCACTCTGTGTTTGGTGCTGAGTATGACCAAAACAATCAACCAAGCAACCAACCAAACAGCCAAGCAACCAACCAAGCAACCAAGCAACCAACCAAGCAGCCAAGCAACCAACCAACCAATCAAGCCCAACCAACCAGTCAATCAATCAACCAACAAGACACTGCCCCTGCCCACAAGGAACACATAGTCCAGTCTCACAGATTCTTTAAATCAACCAGGATGATGACAAAACAATGCCACATCAATGAGAGCAAGTCACACAGGGTGCCTCACCCACCTTGTTAACCAGGGAGGAATTGATTTTGTTGACCAGCCAGGTGAACGTCCTTCCATAGATGGCCTTTGCCATTGCATCTCTGGCGTACACAGAGAGTTCGAGTGTCAGCGGGCATATGACCTGAAGAGAAGGATCAGGGGCATGGGTATGGATGGAAGAGGAGTTCCCTGAGTTCTCAAGCTATCCTTTAATCATGACTAAGCAAAGGCTGTGGCTGGGGGAAGACACCCAGGAGGTGTTTCTCTGATGCCTGTTGTGTCTCAGGCTGAGATGACAAGAGCCACATGAGATATATATGGCACCTTAAGTTAGTGGTGAGATGATCAGAAAAGGCTCCTCCGTCCAGGGGTCTAGTGACTGAGAGATGAAGTAGTTAGCTGGAGGAGCGTGGGCAGGAGGAGCAGCAGGGGCAGACTCCATAGAGGAGGAGCAGTGAGTCTGAGCAGGAGGCGCTAGCAGTGTGTGGTGGTGATGATGGTGGGGAAGGTGAGGCAGGAGCCCCTGAGGAGCTGGACTACTCAGGGCACGGTGGGCTGGGTTCAAGTGCTTGGCTTCCCCGAAGCCTACTACTGCTGTTAACCAAGGGAGACAGCTGCGGCGGGGAGGTGGCTGCCTTTCCACCCACAGCCATTTTTACCTCCTCTGTTTTGGCTTCAATCTTTCTGTGGGTGAGAGCTTCCAGAAGAACCGATGGGTAGATCCCGAGGAGCTGAATGAGAGGAATCCGAGGTATCATTCAGTGACTCGGTTTTACTTACTCAGAGATCAGGTGGCTGTGGAGTCCCCACACCTCAGTGATGAGTCCTGACTGTGACCCCTCTGCTTTGGGGGCACAATGGGCCTGGCTAGATCAGCCAGAGCTCCTGAAGCCTCCTGGCCAGCATCGCGGGAAGACGTGGAGTTGGCCATCCACACCTAACTGTGGGTGTCCAGGGGCCTCCGCCCCCTCCTGGCCCCTGACTGCCCTCTGGCCCTTCAGAAGGGAGCATCACCTTGGCGATCCATTTGATCTCGTGGGTGTCAGGGACGGCGGCACAGCCTTGGTCATCTTCTTGAAAACAAACGTTGCCCAGGTGTAGGACACTGGCAATAATCCCAAAGAGATTCTAGGAAAATGGAACACAGTCAGGCCGAGGACAGGAGGACAGGAAGAGAAGACAGCAGCTGCTGACAAATGGGGTCAGCAGAGACACCAGAAACAAAACACTGCCCCTCCTGACCCCAGCCCCAGCTCTCAGAACCAAGGCCTCCGCCTCCCCCAAAAGTGGCTCCTATTCACTCCTAATAGCAAGGGAAGCAGGTAAGGCCCTCCCAGAAGCCCCACTCCATCTCCAGGATAAAATATTTTCATTTTTGCATCTCATATATATAAATACATATATTTATTTTTCACACAATAAATCATTTTTGTAAAATACACGACAAAAGCATTCTATAAAATAAACACCATAAGTAAACTCTTTAGTCTTCAAAAGCCAGGATCTCAGGTACAGGATGTATATTTTAGACTACATTCTGGTTCCTGGAATATTAATAGTTTAACAATTGAAATGAAAATAAAAGAGAGAGATGTAAGAACAAAATGTTTATCGACCCTACAGTTTGTGCTTACTTATTCTAAAACAGAAGCATAAACGAACAATAATGCCATAATTGTAGTTGAGACTGGACTTAATTTGGAGGAATAATTACATCAGCTCCTCCTGTAAACACACTGGGAAAAATTAAGGCTGTCACAAAAATATGAAATCCTCAGTTATGATTTGAATTTCAGTAAGGAATGATAAATTTTTGAGTCCTTTTTTGTCCATCTGCCATGTTTACCTTTACTAAAAAATGATTCACTGTTTATCTGAAATGGACATGTAGCTGGGTGTCCCCTAACTTTATTGGTGGAGTCTGGCAACCCTACAGTACAACCCCCAAGCTGCCGGGATTGTTCCCGAGTCCCACAGAGAGCCTCAGGAGCCTTACCTCAAGGTCAGCTTCCGTGAAATCAATGACAGAAAAGGCATTGGAAACAGTTTTCCAGTCGTTCTTGTCATTAAGAGATGATTCTTTGGCACAATGACCCTGAGGCAAAATTGGCTCGCTTACTTTAAGGACAGTGAAGTGTGCACACACGTATCCTAAACAAAACTGCTTTTCTCTACAAGCATGCAAACGCTGGTTCTATAATATCCTGAGTTGGAAACACGTGAAACAGGTTTACTCTGTCTAGTAACCTAACGATTTGCCATCTTCTGGCCTCTTCAAATTTATTTGGGGTTTTATTTTAATTTTATTTATTTATTTATGTGTGTGTGTGTGTGTGTGTGTGTGTGTGTGTGTGGCCAGCTCAGCCCACCAGGGGGCGGGGTTGGCTGACATGTGGTGCTGGGGGATTGAACCACGGTCTCTTAGCTTTGCCAAGCTTGTTTTTAAGTAGGTGCTTTACTTTAGACCACTGAGCCATCTCACCAGCCCCTGGGGTTTTATTTTTAATCTCTGTTCTAAGAAAACTGGTAAAGTTACATGGTGGCAGAATATATTTTTGTCTGTGTCGTTACACATAGTCTTTCCTTTTTGCTAAATAAACTGAAGCCCTGTCCCAGTTACTATCTGCTGAAACATGAGGGTTTGAAATTTTGATGCGTAAGTTCAGAAAGCAACCTGCACCCACTTGAGGAATCTCTGCAGGACCAGAGGGAAGGCGGCCTCAACCGGGGAAAGACAGCCCGGCTCTTAGAGAAGTGCAGATTCTATGGAAATGATCGCCAGCAGAGATGTAGCGAGACTTAGGTAAGTTGGAGTTTGCTTTCTAAATAAGTAACAGTGATTGGCCTCACAGTTTAAAGAGAAACTCACTCTAGGCGATGTTTTTTATTATCTTGTGATACTGGGAGTTCCCAGCTTCCTGATTATCGAAAGATTATTATCTTAAAATGTCTTTGTCGACTGGAGCATTCAAGGGCTTCGCACTCTGAAAATATTCACTGGTGGGTCAGCCAGCCTAAGGTTTGCGATGTCACATGTCAGCCCTCCCTGTCCTCAAATTGAATGCTACACACTTCAACTCAACCATGGCTTGAAAATGTTTGAAAAAATGTCTGCACCAAACATTTGCATGTGCGGGCTTTTTTCCTTATTATTGATTATTCCCCAAACAATACAGTATAACAACTCTCCACGTAGCCTTTACGTTGTATTGTGTATTATAAGTAACCAAGAGATGATTTAAACTATATGGGAGGTATGTAGGTTATATACAAACACTTAGCCATTTTGTTTGTTTATTGTGGTACCTGGGCTTGAACCCAAGGCCTTTGCACCGAACCGCATTCTTAACCATTAGATTTTTTTATTTTGAGATGGGATCTTAACTCAGGTTGGACTCAAACTTGTAATTTTCCTGTCCTAGGTTCCCAGAGTGATGGGTTTATAGGTGTGCATTACTATGCCCAACTGTTTGCCACTTTATACTAGCGTCTTGAGCATCCTCAGAGTTTGGTGTGCTGGAATCAGGCCCCTGTGGACACTGAGGGATCCGCACCAGCAACACCTGCTGCTGTCCCCTTAGGGGAAACCCTGTGCAGTCAGCCCCTCTCAGACACCTTCTGGACTGGCAACAATGCAGCATGCCACAAAGTATAGCGACACATTTTGTTAAAGTCACAGGACACTGTGAAATTGATTTTTTTTTAAAAAAATCCAGTACTGGCAAATTGCTAGAGCTATTTCCAAAGCCAATGAGGTATCAGGATCGGACTGCACTCATGTGGCTAGAACTAATCTAGAAGAATCTAGGCATGGCTATTCCTGAAGAGAACAACTGGATTATTCAGCCTCTAGAGAAGCCCTTGGGAAAAGAAAGTCCCAAGATTTTTATGAACTGATCCCCACTGATCATGCTTTGAAAATTCAAACATGGTGTAATCATACATATTTGTTGGAAAAACTGAACTCCTGAAAATTAAATCAGCTGGGCATGGGGAGCACACCTGTAATCCCAGCTGCTTGGAAGGACTAGCCAGGAGAATCACAAGTCGGAACCCAGCTTGGGTACCTTAGTGAGACCCTGTATCAAGATGAGAGAGAGAGAAAAAAAAAGAACTAGAGATGCTTGGATGTAGCTCAGTGTAAGCTCACATGTGTGAGGTCCTGAGTCCAACACCTGGCAACACACACACACACACACACACACACACACACACACCCTCACCACCACCACCAAATACCACACTAAAAACAAGTTCCTTGTTCCAAGAATTAGTTGTTTAAGGCTTGTTAAGTATAGAATAAAATTATGAAATTTTTTTTCTTATTATTTAGCTTTGTTTCTAAAGGTAAAATTTTGTCAAGGTTCTTTTTCAAAGATTTCTATGAAATATGGGCTGCTCTCTTAGGAGACGGACTTCACAAAGTCTTGTTCTTTCTCTGTCTCTCTCTTTCTCTGTCTGTCTGTCTGTCTGTCTGTCTGTCTGTCTGTCTCTGTCTCTGTCTCTGTCTCTGCCCTCTCACTTTCTCTCACTCTTGCTCCCTGCTCCAAATGGTGCTCTGCTAGTGACCTCAGTTCCAAGCCAGGCCCAGTGAGAAGGGAAAAATAAAATAACCATGGGTCAGAAAAGTGTTAGAATCATCGAATACTACCCAAACAACCTGGGAATTCTCAATCCCTACAACAGGCTCCAGAAAAGTTAATGTTGGAAAGTTAAATTCTAAAAGTTTATACTATTTTTATATCATTTTTATACCACTAGGTCATAGAGGTGCTTATAGGAATGGCCTGAACTATTTCTGTAAGGTAGCAGGTTTGTCTTGCAGCTAAGAGTTCTCAAGATGAGGCTGGGGAGATGGCTCAGTAGAATAAGTGCTTCCCTGACAAGTGCAAGGGCCCAAGTTCAATCCTCGGTTCTGGAAAAAACAAAACAAAACAAAACAAAACAACAAAAAGAGTTCTGAAGATGCTAGGCAGGATGGTGGGGAAAGGTCTTTGTGAGGATAGTCAGAAAGAAGATCAAAGCATAGGTTGTGAGTAAAGACATTCCTGGGTTATTGACCTGCTGTGTAGTGCTGTTCATACTTAAGACTGAGGCAGTCTGTTTGGACTTACGCCCTGCCACTCACACTTACAATCTGGTTTTTTTTGGTGGGTTTTTTGGGTCATTTTGAGACAGAGTCTCTCTGTACAGTTCAGGCTGGCCTTGAGCTCACAGTGATCCTCCTGACTCAGCCTCCTGAGGGCTGGGATTACAGGTGTACACCACTACGCCTGGCTACAACCTGTTTTTTGTTTTTCTGGTGCAGTTCTGTACATCTTATTGATATCGGCTCATTTTTTTTTGGTACTGTATACCTGGTTTATCCAGTATTATTGTTTTTGCTGATTGTATGGTATAGTACTATAGGTTTATGTTCAGTTCTATCTTACAGTACTGCAGATAAGAGTTATAAAAAGTCATCAAGTTGGAGTTTCCTTTGATAATTTCTTTATTTTTATTCTTTCAATATGGGGTCTCACTATGGAGTTCAGCCCCATAGTGATCCTCCTGTCTCAGCCTCCCTAGCGCTGGGGTTATAGGCATGTGCCACCACTTCTGGTTTCTGGGCTGGCACAGCACAGCATGCGGTACCAGGGATTGAACTTGAGACCTTGCACTTTCCAGGCAGGCACCTATGCCACGGAGCTATCTCACCAGCCCTCCTTTAACCATGTCTCTGTTCTGATCTTGTAATCTACATACCATACACAAGTCCTCATTTAGCAACCGAATAATTTAAGGACCAAGTTGCCAGGACTGGGTTGTTATACAAGGAGTGTCTTTATAGAGAGTGAGTGTTTAATTGCATCTAGACCAGCAGTTCTCACCTTAGCTGTACCCTAAATCATTAGGGAGTTTGTTTAGTAGTTCTGGGGCTCCAACTCAGTGTTTAGGTAAGTGCTATACCACTGAGCTACACTACCAGGCTAGGAAAACATTTCAAACAATTATGATGCCCTAGGCCCATTTCAGATCCACTAAAAAACCTCCAGAAGCATCTGTGTTAGTTGTGTTTATAATACTGGGGACTGAGCCCAAGGCCTTGCTATGCTAGGTAATTGTTCTACCACTAAACTCCCCCCAGCCCAAGTCCAGGCATGTGAGTTTTTAAGACTTCTAAAGTGATTCAAATTTCAGCTAGGCCTGAGAGCCATTTGCTTCGACCCTGGGATGCTTAACCAAGTGACACAGCTGTCAGGAGCAGAGGTAGACAAGTTGGCTGGAGGATCCATCCTGACGAAACCCAAGCTCTGGAACACCATATAGGCACTTCCCAAACACCCCCAGTCCCCACCTCCCAAGGGTCAAAAGCCAGGTGCTGAGCCTTCCAACCTGTGAGAGGTATTTATACAGCTGAGGGTCTCGCTCAAGTCCCAGGTAGGCGAGGCGCTCCGCTTCACCACCCGCTAGCAGCTGGTAGAAGATGTGGAAATTCCGCTCCCCCTGGTTTTGGTAGACGACTCGGGACTTTTCTATCAAGTAACCAATGATATGCCCACCTACGGGAATGCCCTTCAAAACAGAATAAAAATGGGGCAATGACAATAATGATCAAGTCAGAATTTTTTTAATTTGAACTAAATCCCATCTATCAATCCTTTATGATTCGTATTTCCTGGGTTCTGCTTCTAAAAGATTTTTGCCTACTAAAAATTGCTGGAGATCATGAAGGTATTTTCTGTGTTTGAGTATTTCATTGTTTGTGTTTAGGGTTTAGGCTACACAGACCAACTGATTTTTATGTATGGAGTGAGGTAAGGATCAAAGATCTTTCATCCGCAGTGACTTGCAATTGACTGGCAACATTTATTGGAAAGGTGATCTGATCTGTACTGAATCATGGTGGTGACTTTGTTACAATTGTATGTGGGGATCTTTCTGATTTCATGGCTTCTTCATCTTCCCTCTTGTCATCCATACTGTCTTAATCATAATTTAATTTAATTTAATTTAATTTTTTTTTAAAATTTATTTATTTATTGTGTGTGTGTGTGTGTGTGTGTGTGTGTGTGGCCAGCTCAGCCCACCAGGGGGCAGGGCTGGCTGGCATGTGGTGCTGGGGGATTGAACCGCGGTCCCTGTGCTTTGCTTAGCTTAGCTTGTTCTAAGTAGGTGCTTTAGACCACTGAGCCATCTCACCAGCCCAATTTAATTTAATTTAATTTAATTAATTTATTTATTTTTGGCAGAACCGGGATTGAACTCAGGGGATTGACCTTTGTGATACTGAGGATTGAACTAAGGACCTTTACACTGAACTATTTCCTCATCCCCCTTTGCATTTTATTTTGAGACAGGGTCCTGCTAAATAGCCCAGGCTGGGCTTAAACTTAGAATTCACCTGCCTCAGCCTCTCAGGGTGCTGGGATTACAAGTGTGTGCTCCCATACCTAGCTGACATGCATAAATCTTGCAGATAGAATTTTGAAGAAGCCAGAAATAAAGTAGTGTAGTGTATAATGCCTTTGTATGAAATTTAAGAACCAGTAAGATGAATCTGTGACTATAGTGGTAACCATTGGAAAGTAGGGTATTGTTGGAAGACCTGCTAGATGCTAGAATTTTTTTTTTTTAATCTTGCTGTGAGTAGTGGCTACACAGGTCGATACACATGGGTCTGTTCTCATGATTTGTGTCTCTTGGGGGTATATGTTTAACTCTAAGCGTTTTTAAATATGCATAGCTATTAAATGTCTAATTTCTTTTTCAAAATATTTCTTTATTTGGTACAGGGTCTTGCTATGCAGCTTGGATTCATAGTGATCCTCCTGTCTCAGCCTCCCCAGCACTCGGATCACAGGTGTGTACCACTGTACCCAGTTTTGGGGCCAGCATGGCATGCAGTACCAGGGATCAAACTCAGGTCCTTGTGCTTGCCAGGTAGCTGCTTAGACCGCTGAGCTTTCTTCCCAGCCCTAAGTGTCTAATTTTAAGTTCCATGGATACCCCGTAGAAGACCAACCTTCAGGAGGCCCGGAGCCACTGCTGCACTCTACCCCCAGACAGCCCCTGTTCTCTAGGCTAAGGGTCACTGTGCCACTTGGAAAACATGTCCTTAAGAATTTTTTTTTTTTTTTTTTGCGGAACCGAGGATTGAACTCAGATCCTTGCATTTGCCAGTCAAGCGCTTATCCCACTGAGCCATCTCCCTGGCCCCTGTCCTTAAGAATTTTGTCTACCCATGTGCAATAGACCCGTTTACAGTGTGGGTGGAGTGCACTTCCTCGTGTCCCTCATGTGCTGCAGATAGCCACTTTAGTGTTACAGCTGAGACGAGATGTCCCTGTCAAGGCTTTACAGCTCAAACAACCTAAAATATCTCTACCTAGCCCCACCTAAAACTATTTGCTGATCTTTGTCCCTTTGGTCAGCCTACCTGTCCAATATGCTGCTTACTTTTATTTTTAGTCTTTTTTTTTTTTTGCGGAACCGGGGATTGAACTCAGGCCCTTGCGCTTGCCAGGGAAGTGCTTATTCCACTGAGCCATCTCCCCGGCCCCTTTACTTTTATTTTTAGGCTTTATGAACAAATAGTATCACACTGCCACATACTGCATGTCTTGTTCATCCACGTTACGTGGAGCTGTGGTTCTTCAGCTCTCCCTGCTCTAGAATCCTTATTGTGTGAACACACTCGTTTAGCCCCCTCCTGTCCACAGGTGCTCAGTTCTGTCCAGCTGTCGTGGGTATTTCTGGTCTTTCCACTGTCACCAGCAAGCCTGTCGGGGACACGCTTACACACTTGCGGGGCTATCTCTGGGAGTGGAATGGCTGCACCTTAGATTATGTGTTGCCAATTTTACAAGGTACCATCTTATCATTGGTTCAAGCCATCATTTTCCAAATAGGTTGCCCCAATAGACACCTTGTCCTTAAACTGTGTAAATTCCAGGGTTCCGCATCTTCACTAATACCCAGCAATCTCTTAATTTTTGCTCATTCAGAAGGTATACAACAGAATCTCATTGTGGTCTTTATTTGCATTTCCTAAAATTAGAACTAGCCCTAGATTTTTCGGTTGCTTGAGTCACCTTAAGCTGCCTTGGGGTGATGCCAAATGGGGGAGCCTCAAGAATCAGTATTAGGAATTTTAGAGTACCTGAAAGTCAAACTGTATGTCCATGTATTTTCCAAATCTGCTGGAGTTGTCATTCCGGGGTGTTTTGGCATTTCCAAAAGCCTTGGAAAATAAAGTGTCAGTCTCTATCATTTAAGCTCACCATACTTGTTAAATTTCTGACCTCAAATAATATGCTTTCTACATGCATGGAAGAGGGAGGGAGGAACCAGGGAGGGAAGCCACCTTTTTTTTTTTTTTTTGGAATCGGGGATTGAGCTCAGGCCCTTGTGCTTGCCTGGGAAGCGTTTATTCCACTGAGCCATCTCCCTGGCCCCCACCATTTATCTTGTGGCCAGGATTTACTAACTACAAGGCATTGAAGGTAGAGTTGGACCTAGGAAGATCATCTCCTAGAATCCAGTCTAGGGATGTATGAGAATGGCCCAAGGAGAGATACCGAGGCCCTGATAGTTCTACAAGACATAGCGGATAGACCCAATCCCAGACTCCTTATATTGATTCATTTAACTCAAAGTCTCCTGGGAAATTCCTGTAACCAGGAGCATCTTTACCGACAGGGCATCAAAAACGCAAGAGATGGGCTGGTGAGATGGCTCAGTGGTCTAGGGCACCTACTTGGAACAAGCTTAGCAAAGCACAGGGACCACAGTTCAATCCTCCAGCACCATATGCCAGCCGGCCCCGCCCCCTGGTGGGCTGAGCTGGCCACACACACACAAATGAAATAAATAAAAAAAAAAAACAAAAAAACAAAAAAACAAAAAAAAAAAACGCAAGAGAAAATCACTTGTTCAAAACCATCCAGCAAGCTGGTGAACTGTAATAGTAGAAATAATGATAACCAAAATGCTTTTAATTAACTAAGAATAATATTAATAAATAAGAAAGTATTGTTTTAGTGCTTCCTAATTTTGCTGTATGCTCTTTGAGCATTCGCTGTCTTTAATCCTCAGAGAGTCTTAAGAGGCAGGTCGAGGAAGTGGACCCACTCTGCAGATGAGGCAGACTGAGGGTTTGGAATGACTTGCTGATGCCTGCCGGTGTTTGGCATGCTGAATTAGAGCACAGCTCTGCCATCTTACTTCGAGGTCACTTTAACACCAACTCTCCCCATAAGACCCCCTTTCTCAGCTATGATCTGACTGCCCTGTCCAGGCAGACGATTCCACTTAGCGATCCCCTAGGACGCCGTTCTGTGGATCCTCAGAAGTCGCTTACCTCCAGCACAGGGTTGGAGAGCAGCAGCCTGTCACGGGCTATCTGTAGTGACTCAGTCATTGGGCAGGTCACCGCAAAATACTGCAGGATCTTCTTGGAGGCCTCTGTTTTCCCAGCCCCGCTCTCTCCAGAAATGAGGATAAAGTGGTTATTGAGCTCCGAGCACATCATGCGGTAAGCGTTGTCAGCTATGGCATAACTAGAGAGGGACAGAGACCATTTGGTTTGGATGGCACTCCTCTTGGCTCTCGTGGTCACCAGAGCAGGAAAACAGAGTACCCGGGCTCCGTGAAACCACACCCAGACTGTGAATCAAGGACACTGAGTTCAGAGAGATATCAGATCCCTGACATGATCCACGGAGTGATCAAAAGCACTCTGAATTAGATATCGAAGCTCAAATGACAGAAGGGTTCAAGGGATGAATTTGGGCAATACTTCTTGAACTTTAGCAAATTAATTTATTAGGTGCTGGGGATGCAACTAGAGTCTCCTGCCTGCTAGGCAAGTGCTCTACCATGGAGCTACACCCCCAACCCCAACAATTTATTTTTTAAAAGCCAGCTACATTCCTTGTAAGAATAAGTCAGTTGTACATCACAACCCCAAGACACATTCTATTAACTGTAAGTGGAAATGGGATCTTGTCTAATGTTTAAGTAATTCAGTAAATAAAAATGTCTCATGTTTTTTTTCTTTTCCTCAAAACCTAGAATACTCAGAATGCAGAGAGCAGATCAGCGAGGTTTCAAAAACTTCTGCGATACTTTTAGGACAGAAGGACAAGTATGACAAGGGCCTTTATGCTAAGGTCAGAAACCAAAGCATGACAGTTGTCCCCGTCCTCGTTATTTCAGGATTCAGTGGTGACACAGAGAGGTTTATAAATGCCTTAGGAAGTGGACTAGCTGAGTCACCGGGACATTGAAGGGAGAAGCTAAATATTAGCTCAGAAGTCAGCCAAGGAGAAAAAGGAGACTCCAGCAAGGCCTGCACTATATAGAATAGGTAGGAATTTGCCCATCTTAAGGTTCGGTAGCCCCGCTAAATTTCTGCCAGGGGCTATTAACCGCCATGACACAGAGTCACCAGTAGATGGCACTATAGCAACCCATTGTCCGAAGAAGGCTCCTCTCTAGCCCCCGTTTTAGATTTCTTGACAGTTGAACAAAGATTCCGCGCTTGCTTATGTAAGCTGAGATTCCAGAATGACCTACTAACGTTTTCTACTGCTTTGACTTATTTCGCAAGGAGGCAAAAGTTTAAGGAGCAGGCAAAAATAGATTAATAAACATGCATCAAAGATTTGGATGAATAGATAGACGATAGATGGATGGAAGGATGGATAGACTAGAGAATGGGTAGGAAGAAGGGCAAAAGGCATGGAAAAGTTGAGAAAGAATAGGGAAAAAATGAAAATACTCCCAGTGATGACCTTACTTACACATGTGGTGGCAGTTCAAAGAAATTGACCCCTTGATAAAGTTCCATCTGGCTCATAGTGTAGATTCCGAGCTCCTGGTATGGATTCATGGACACAAGGAGAGTCCCAATATATGTCTAGAGGAGCAGACCACAGCATGAGAGAGGCATTGTGGGTACAAATGACTGTCACATGCTGATCCTTGGGTGTTCATTCAGCCTAGCCTAGAGATACAACGCAACAAACCCAACAGGCAAGGTCTCTGCTGTTATGGAGCTCGTGGGGCTGAAGAAACAAACAGGATCAAGACAGCTTCAAGGAACAGGAAGTATTAAAAAAAGCCCGCATAGGCTCTTGAAGGCATGAGTGAGTAAGGCCGTGTTAGTGATTGGCTTCTGGAAGCTTCGCTAAGGAGGGGACCTCTGAGTGTAAAACAGAAAGCTGAAGGGCTAATCATGAAAAAAGTAGGCAGGAAGGGCCTTCCAGGCTAAAAGGACTCGTGGGAGCAGGCTGCCTGCACTAGAGCCGGTGTGGCCAATGCCATGAGTGAAGGGAGGAGGGTGAATGGGAAGGGAGGATGTCAAGAGGAGGCAGCTTTGTATCACACCAGCCCTGGGGGCTGTCATGAGCCACTGGGTTTATTCCCAGTGCAATGCATGCAGAGCTAGTGCCCTCCCAGCTAAAACCAGATACCTGCTCTGAATGGTTGCGACAGCATATGGCGCTACGGGAGAAGTGATGGGTGTGATCTGCGCATCATACAGGTGTCTCTGGCCAGTGAGTGGGGATGCAGGACAAATGTGCCCGCCAGCCCTCTAAAGGTGGGGAAAATCCTCCCATGATTGGTCCTTGTGTGTCTAGAGTTCAAGGTTAAATTCTACTCATAATCAAGTGTTTCAAGTACTTACATCTTACATTAATAGAACCATTAATGTAAGACTTCTGGGATATATTTATAAATAAGGAGCTCTAAGATCTTATATAGAAACGAAATAGTTGGGGTTCTTCAAAAATGTATCTGACATTTTCAGATTCTGAATTTGTTGTGTTTTGAAATACTGGAGGTGCTTTTAAAGCCTATGTGGGGTCTATGTTAACATCACCCCAACTCATGTCTCTGATCTCCGGGACAGCCTCAAACAGAACCAGAACAGAGATGAGTACTTTGGCTAAAGTACTGCTTCAGTATTTGATTTTACCAATGCTTTAGTGAGTAGATATCTGCTGACTGTGGGACATAGTTCCTGCAATCTCTCAGGTTTTTAAAAAAATTATTTATTAGATACAGGGTTTCACTATGCAGCATGGATTCGTAGTGATCCTTCTGTCTCAGCCTACCCAGTGCTGGGATTATAAGCATCTACCACCATGCCTTGTTTGCAAGCTGGCATGGCGCACCCAGGGTTCCAGGGCTGGCATGGCATGAGGCACCAGGGATCGAAATTAGGACCTTGTGCTTGCCAGGCGGGAGCTTATGCCACTGAGCTATTTCCCCAGCTCCATCTCTCAATGTAAACTGGAAACTATTAGCTTACGTCTAATGATCCTATTGTCCAGTTTGTCCTTCATACCATGTCATTTCTCCTTTGCTCATACAGAATATCAACTTGAGTTTTTCAATTTGTTCAACTAAAGGTGATAACCCTAAAAGTGTGCAATATACTCTTGCTTATTTCTTCTGGTAACCTTGGCTTCATCATATGGATTAAATCATAGGAATCATTACAGACAATCTACCTATAAGGCAAATATGTTCAAACTGCTTCTGATTTTCTAATTTACTTATTTTTTTGGTAGTACTGGGGCTTGTACCCAGGACCTTTGCCCTGAGTTATGTCCACAACCCTTAAAATATTTAAAAAAAAAACACATTTTTTTTTTGAGACAGAGTACTGAGGTAACAGGCATGCACCACCACATCAGTTCTAATTATTCTTTTTTTTTTATTTTAGGGAAGGGTCTACAGTGTGTTCAGGATCTCACTGCTAGATCGGACTCATAGTGATTAGCCTGATTACAACCTCCCAAGAACTGGGACTACAGGCGCACGCCACCACATCCAGCCTCAACTGCACCCCGGGGGCAGGGATGGCAATGCGGGGCCCACACGTCAGGCCCAGGGATTGAACCCCCAGCACCTGCGCCTGCTTGCAGGCACTTTAATCCACTGAGCTATTTGGTCAGCCCAAGTCTAGTTATTCTTAACGAATGCTAATGGAAACTAAGAGAAAATTTTAAGAAACCCCATGACACAAAAACACTGTAACATCCAGGAGAAATTTACATGAACCTTGACCAATCAAACTAGGATGTGGTGGAGATAAACCGAGAGTTTCATAAAAGCTGGCTACTACTAGGTGCAACAAGATCAATATGAGAAGTTTGGTGAAGTGCTCTGAGCTTGTCCCTTGAGGATTTCTAGAATGTCTTAAGACTGCTGTTATTTGCCTTCCTGTCATTCATCACCTCTTTTTCCAACAGATTCCTTGGAGGACCCGCTTCTCCAGCTCTTAGTCCAGGTGACAGTGGTGGGGTTCTGACTGTAACCTTCACCTCCAAGGGTGAGCCTAGTAGTTTAGCCTGGCCAATCAGAATAGGAATTGGAGTAGTGATAACTAGTTGAAATAGGGGCACGTGACTCAGGATGGGCCAATCAGAGCCAACCAACATTAGCTTTAGGATGTGTGTTAGAACTGTTTTCCTTCTTAGTAGCAACACTAGCTGTTAAAACACCAGCCTGGACCTGATGATCATCCTACTGAAAAGGAATAAGGCTGCCCGAGAAGGAAACCAATGCAAAAGAAAGCAAAGCAGAGAGATGGAGAAAGAGTCCTCAGTGTACTCCCTGAAACCCTACATCTGTTCCTGGACCCCAACATTATCATTTCCTTCTGTGGCACAGGCCAGTTTGGATTGAGTTTCTATCACTTGCCAACATAGAAACCTTAGCATGAACGACCCAAGCTCATTTGAACGTATATCTTGGTACCTCCACTTCATGGCTAACCTAAGACAGTAACATTGTTCACAGTGACCAAGGCTGATAAAGGTAGACAGGGAACAAACAGGGTAGGAAAACAGGCTGAGAAGTGTGTTAGGTTACATATATGAGGTTCTCGCTGAAACGCTTGCGAAGGTTGTCCACAAAGGCAGATTCGCTGGTGTAGGCATCCAACAGCACAAAGTCCTGCACGCCGACCTTGTCCCGGGCAGTCAGCGCGCCTTCCATGTGCAGCCGGATGTGCCTCCTCCTCACCTCTTCTTTCTATAGGAGACAGAACACTCCTCAGCAGCTCATTGACCCCCATATTGACATAGTAGATGTCTAGCAATCCGAATAACCAGTTACTAAGCCTAGGATAGTAGACAACTGAGGCTATAATGCGGCTGAAAAATGTCCTATTGTATATTTTATTAGCATTTTTTATGGTACCTTTTGTATGCTTGGATTTATTTAGGCTAATTAAATACTTAACCATTGGGCTGGCAAGATAGCTCAGAGGATTAAAGTGCCTGCTTAGATAGACCCAGTGGCTGGGGATTTGATCCCCAGGTCTGCTGTGCTGGTCCCACCCCCGGCACGCTGAGATGTTGATTGTAACTGGGTGAGGTGGCGCATGCCTGTAATCCTGCCTCTTAGGAGGCTGAAAACAGGAGAATCACTATGAGTCTGATCTACGTAGTGAGGTCCTGCAGACCTTGTACTAAATACATTTTTTTTTTTTTTTTGGTGGGGGGAAGGGTCTACGGGGTGTTCAGGGTCTCTCTACTAGATTGGACTCGTAGTGATCCCCCTGTTTACAGCCTCCCAAGGGCTGGAATCACAGGCGTGCACCACCATGCCCAGTCTCAATTGCCATCTCAGCATGTCCCGGGGGTGGGGGGGTGGGGGGTGGGGGTTGGGGGGAGGGGCTGGCAGGCAGGCCCGGAAATCGAACCCCTGGCCTCTGCGCCTACTTGCTTTAATTCGCTGAGCTATTTGGCTAGCCCCCGTACATTTTTTAAAAATACAAATATATTAAAAAATAAATACTTAACTATTGCATTACAGTTGATTGACATATTCATTATAGTAACATGCTATTCAAGTATGTAGCTCGGGAGAGACAGGCTGTACCGTATGCAGTTGAGGTATGTTGTAGGCTGTCCCATGTATGTCTACGATGTTCCACAAAGCTAAAATTGGCTACTGATGCATTTCTCAGACTATATCTCCAAGTGCCAGGTGATATATAGTCATGCACAGTAATAGCAGTTAACAGAAAGCCAGCATTTACCTGGTCAAGTACTGCGGACTCCAAAGGCTTCAATTCTATTATCTCATTTAGTGGTCATTCTGTTATGAAGTAAGTACTAATTATTGTACCCATTCCACAGCCCAGGAAACTGAGGCAAAATGCAGAGCCAGAATATGAACCCAGACAGCTTCACTGAGAAATCGCTTTCTGGATTTTTGTGTATTCCACGCTGGTCAAAGGGAACCTGGAAACTTCCTGCCTTTGCAATGTCCCTCCAGCACCCTCTAGTGACAAAATTAACATCGCTCTCTCTTTGAGAAGAAATGTTTGACCTCCGTTCCTTATTACAGAACAGGTCTGGAGGGTGAATTTGGGGATCTGAGAGGCAATACGCTGACAAGAGCATCCACAAGCAGATAAAGGTCCTCGAATAGCTAAAACAACCTTGAAAAGCTAGAGGACTCACTGACTGAAAAATAAAACAGGGCTGGAGGTGTTTCCAGTCGATGGTGCAGACAGTCAGAAGCAAACATTCAGTCTCTACCTGACACCACATGTGTATACATATATATGATATGCATAAAATATGTAGAGGAGGTATAGATGGAACATATAGGTCAATTTGAGATGCACCTTAGATCTAGCTATAAATGTAAAAATCTGTAAAGCTACTAGAAGAGAAGAAGGGGGATAGCTCAGCAATTAGAGGACTGCAAAGTATTTTCGGGCAGCACATGCAAAGAAATAATGATTATTGGAACAAAAAGAAATTATACCTCATCAAATATAAAACTTCAAATCATAATACACTGTTAAGCAAGCAAATGGGCAAATCATAGCTTGGCAGAAAATACTCACAAATATATAGCTGCAAAAGATTTGAATCTGGAATAAAAGATATGTACAGCTCAATAAGAAAAAGGCAAACCCAATACATCTAGAGAAAAGATTTTCATAGGTACTTCCCAAGGAAAGTAAATGGTCAATAGGCACCTAGAAAAGTGTTCAACATCCTTAGTCATCAGGGAAATGCAAATTAAAACCATAATGATAGAGGGCTGGCCAAATAGCTCAGCATTTTAAAGCATCTGCAAGCAGGCGCAGGGGCCGGGAGTTCGATCCCCAGGCCTGCAGTGCCGGCCCTGCCCCCGGAGCACGCTGAGACGACAATTGAGACTGGGCATGGTGGCGTGTGCCAGTGATCCCAGCTCTTGGGAGGCTGTAAACAGGTGCATCACTAGAAGTCCGTTCTAGTAGTGAGACCCTGAACATCCTGTAGACCCTTCCATAAAATACAAAAAACAAAACAAAACAAACAAACCCCCAAACCCCCCAAAAGATAAACAAAACAAAAAAGGCAAAACCATAATGATATACCACGAGAAGAGTTAAAACAGAAAAAACATGACAATACAAAATTCAGGTCAGGATGTAAAGCAGGATGATTTCTACCCTTATTGCTGTCATGAACGCAAAAGGAGCCAACCACTTCAGGAAAAGTTCTGATGGTTTCTAATGAAATTACCCATGCCTCTATCCTTTGATCCAGCAAGTCCACTCCAAAGTATTTACACAAGAGAAATGTAAACATCTGTCCACAAAAGACTTGGATGTGATGTCCAACTCAAGCTCGACTTTATTCAGAATGGCTCCACCCTGGAAACAATCCAAATAGCCATCAAGTGGAGGATGGATGCGGTACATCTGTACAATAGAACGAGTCCAGCGATAAAAAAAGGAATAACGGGCATATGTAATAGCACGGATGACTCTCACAGACATTGTGCCAAGTGAAAGAACCTAGACATAAAAGGGTGCAAACAGTGCCGTTGCATTTATATAACATTCGAGGACAAGCAAAGCTAATCTACAGTGAAAAATCAGAACAATTGTTGCCTGGCTGGGGGGCTTTCAGAAAAAGGATATTTCTGAAGTGATGGAAATGTCCTATATGTTGATAGGCCTGTGAGTTAACACGGATGTGTCCATTCATCAGGATGCATTGTTAGAATTTTATGTATTAAGCTATGTGTAAATCTTACAACACTTCATTTAAGAAGAACCCTAAAATAATAGAATGAGAGAGGATGGAGAGGGAGTGGGGGTCTAAATGAAATCAGAATGGCAAGATGTTAATCACTGTGGAAGGTAAATTATGAGGATGGGAGAGTTATTCTTCTTTGTTTACTTTCTGTAAATCTGATTTTCACGATTAAAAAGTTTTTAAAAAATGTGGTACAGAATGGCCACCAGATGTCTCCCTACACTAGCAAAATGGAGCTAGAATACCTGAAAT